TAGCCAGTAACTGAGGGTCTAGTCTTGAAAAGAAAATGACTTTTGTTCAGGGGTCTTCAGGGGTCTGGGGAAGTGAGGGATTGGGGCAAGTGCTCTCCAGTCACAACTCAGAAGAATTTGGGAAAAGCAGATCACACAAAGGCAGGGCCCTTAAGAGCGGCTTTGTTTCCTGCAGAGAGCAAGGCGTGGATTCCAGAGATCAGTGTAGCATTTATCCACGGATTGCATTACAGAGGGCACTTTCAGCAGGGTGGTGAGAGGCCAAGCATCTCAGACTGAAAAAAATAAAGATCTGTTGCTGGAGAGTCAGCTCTGATTCAGGTGACAGGTGACTCATAAGGAAGGACAGGAGCGGAGGGAACCTGTGGATCACAATGCTTTGCTCTGCAACCAGTCAGGAGGATGGGGTAGGACTGGGCAGTGTTCTGTGAGCACACGTTTTCATGCATGAGGCTGCATGGGACTGGCCAGTTAGGCAGCAGCCAAAAACAGCCCTATGCGACTAATGGCGTACTGAGAGATATACACACCATCAAGTAGGGGACATTTGCATGGTGTTACCAGGGTACCTACAGGCTTCTGGGGGGTCCCAATGGGGCAGCTTAACTGTTTGGGGTGTGGAGGGAGAGGAAGAGTAATCTTTCCTTCCTCTGATCTCTCCTTGCAGTTTAATCTCTTTTATATCTCAAACTACTGAGGATCTTGGTCGAACCAAGTGATGCATATTTGGAGTTGGGCAGTTCTTTCTTAAGCCTCAGCTGTGTGCGCTTGCCAGATGGTGGATGGCCAAGGTGTGGAGGTCCATGTGTTTGTCCTCATCTGACTCCTGCAACTGAGTGCTAGTAATGACTGCAATGGTCCTTTCTGACAATAGTGTCTGTTTGAGAAGCTCCCCATTCTTTCTCTCGCTAACCATGTGGCTTTGCAGAGGCTACGTAGCCAAAGCAGTCCCAGGTTCCTCCTCTGAAAAACAAGGACAATGATAGCTCATACCTTGTAAGGTCATTAGGAATATTAAAAGAGATAATCTGTATAGAATATCTGGAACATAGTGGGAACTTTAATAGTACACATTATCAGTAACTACGAAGTGAGTAACCCAGAAAAGGTCTCCCAGAATCCCGATGAGAGTTCTCCTAGACTATTTGTGTGTGTGGTTGTTTATACTTGACCAGAGGTTTAAGTCATCTGACCCTGAAAAGCAAGCAGGACGGTTGAAAGACCACGTAGTTTATTTCCTCATGTTGAAGATATTTAGGGAGTGTAAGAGTAGTTGAGACTGGATGGATTCTTCTTTAAAAAAAACAACAACAGTTTTATTGGGACATAATCCACATATCACACAATTCAATCATACCAAGGAGAGTTGTACAATCATTGCCACAATTAATTTTAGAACATTTTCTTCTTGTACTTTTTTTCTTTTAAATAATTTTATTGGGGGCTCATACAGCTCTTATCACAATCCATACATCCATTGTGTCAAGCACATTTGTACATATGTTGCCGTCACTATTTTCAAAACATTTTCTTTCTACTTGAGACTATGGTATCAGCTCATTCCTCCTCCCCAACACCACCCTATTTCCCTTATAAACCCTTGATCATTTATAACATTTTTTTTCTTGTCTTTACACTGACCGATGTCTCCCTTCACCCACTTTTCTGTTGTCCGTCCCCCTGGGAGGGGGTTATATGTAGATCATTGTGATCCATTCCCCCTTTCTCCCTCTACCTTCCCCTTTTCTTGTACTTCTTGTTATTACCTCCCTATTTCTCCCCAACCTCCTCGTCAAACCATTAATCCAGTTACTGTCTCCATAGATTTGCCCATCCTGGATTTCATATAGTGAAGACCTAATAACTAAAACCAAAGAAACAAAAAAGCCACTTAGCTTTTTTTGTGTGCAATAACAAAATAAAATAGAGAAAAACCTCAATTGAAAAGAAAGCAGAAATATTTAAAACTAGAACAACTTTAATATGAGTCAAAAGGGAGATCAAATGATAAGGCGTAAAATTTTAACCTACCTACATCTTCTGTAATCTCCTTCCCAGTGCACTCTGCATGATGGCAAGGCCATTCACAGCCCTGGGTTTTGTTCAGAGGTGATTCACTGGAGGCTTAATCCACATGCATTTCCCCCTTCACTTTCTTTTTCTTACTGATACAAGTTTTTAATGGGTCGCAATGCGGATCTCATAAATGTTACATTTTATCCCAACTATATCTACTACAATTATCTCTACAATAATCTCTTCTGATAACAAGACTATTCACATCCCTCAAGATGGTCACAGGGAATTCACTGGAGGCTTAATCTAGGTGTGGACCCTGTACACGGATTTTGGGCTTCCACTGTTACCCAGAGCCTGCAAACTGGGCGTTCATAATTTAAGCTCTGGTACCCTCCCCTCCTTCAGATTTGGATCATTTTGCTGGTGTGTTTCTTCCAGGTGGATTTAGTCGACACCTCACTGGATGAATTTTTCACTAGTGCTTTGATATGTGTACAATACAATAAAATGATAATATGTGTATAGTACAATAGAATGATGATACGAATAAAAAGTATGCATCAAGTGTCAGACATTTTACCTGGCACTAGGGGAGACAGTATAAGTGAAAGTAAACATGCTGCTGGTCCTGCTTTTTGGAATTTGTAGGCTGTGGAAAATGCATGCTAAATACAGAATTATATTAATGGTCAAAAGTGCAGCTGGGACATTGTAGCACTTGTCCTGCAACTGCCCTATGTGACGTGTCCGATATTCTGGCCCTCCACCCTGACAAACATATCTCTGTATTCACATATTGAAAATAGGGGCATAATTGTGGTTTTTATATAACTAAGTGTCAGCAAAGTGTCAAAGATGATTGAATTTAACTATTGCACAATCTGTGGTCTTGTGGTGGACCAATAAAATGTAGATGAGTAATAAAATTAAAAAACATGTATAATTGATACATTACTTCAGGGTTCCTCAAACTTTTAAAACAGGGGGCCACTGTCCCTCAGACCCGTTAGAGGGCCGGATTATGGTTAAAAAAAAACAAACTATGAACAAATTCCTATGCACACTGCACATATTTTATTTGAAGTAAAAAACCAGATGGGGCAAAAACAACCGGCGGGCCGGATAAATGTCCTCAGCGGGCTGCATGTGGCCCGTGGGCCGTAGTTTGAGGATGCCTGCATTACTTCATATATTTACCTTCACTGTGGCAAAATCACTAACTGTGGTTTTAAATATCACAAAATTTACATTCTTTCTAAAGAAATGTTGACTTAGGTAACTTTTCTTTAAAAAACAAACAGCCCCCCTCCCCAGCTGCCTTGAAAGATAATTTCCATTCCATATAAATCGTGCATTTAAACTGCACTACTTTTGTTGAGCCTTATTAGTTCTTGGTTTTTCATTGATTTACATTTAAAGAAACTGCTCTGGTGGTGTAGTGGTTATATGTTGGACTTCTATCCACAAGGTCAGCAGTTCAAAGCCATCAGCCACTCCGAGAAATTCACAGGGGAAGTTCTACCCTGTCCCTCAGTGTGGCCATGACTCAGTATTAACTTGAAAGCAGGGAATTGGTCTGTTTTTGCTGTGCTGAGAGCACGCCAACTTGAATTGTCAGTAGAGTCCTTTGGAAATGGACCATGAATATAGCATACCATGATCCAAATATGGTGTGAATTAATCATGTTGTTTCTGTCATAGGAATTCTTTACTACTTACATTTCAATTTTTACTGTTTTTTAAAGCAGTGTTAGCTCTAGTGGTAAAGTAAAACATGGTATATTTCACACTTGTTGCATCTTGACCATAGGTTCCCAAACATATATGTCCACACCTTTCCAGAAAACAACAGCACCCTCCGTGCCCTCCGGCAATGAGGCCTTTTGTACTGTAGCCCATAATCTAGGGTAAAGTGTAGGTGTCTGTGTTCCCAGTTCCCCTGAATCATTCCAGTGCACCTCCTCCCAGGGAATGGTATCGTCCACTCTGGGTAACATTGATTTTAGGCATACATCTGTACAAAATTTAGAAAGGATAAGAATAGTGAAGGTGGTAGTGGCCAAACCACAGTCAGCTGCTATGAGTAAACATTGTGAATTTTGAGGACTTCCTGCAGTACAAATTGGAGCCATAAAGAAAAACAGGAGAATAGAGGGCAAGTAGAGAGCTTCCTTGGACGAGGATCAGTGACCGCAAGGAAGAATGGACAAGTTAATTAGTCTTTCCTTTTCTCGCGGTAGTTGTGGTCCTCACTCCTTCCCTGTGCTCTGATATTCCTGGTGGCCACATGCTCAAATGTGTAAGACTTTGAGACACAGTTGACAATTATGTTAAGGCCTTAGGACAAGGGACGTGGGGAAACATTTCTCAGGGGGGATTCTGTTGGTTGATCGCAATGCTCACCTGCCATGCAGGCCAGGGTTTGATTCCCAGCTAGTATACCGTCTGCACAACCATCACCCATCAATGATGGTTGTGATCTAAAGTGTTTGTGTGTTGTGTGATCTACGATGGGCTTCAAAGAACAGCTTGCTGTTTCCCAAAATTAACCATTGGGAAACCCTACGGATCACAACTGTCCCATCCGCAACTGCTCGTGGACCGGGCAGCATTTAGTTCTGTCCTGCCTGGGGTCGGATTGCCGCGTGTTGGGTGTTGACCTGAAGACACCTAACCATAACATTGAACAATTGTAACCACAAGGCGGGGTGCTTAGGGTTGCCTCAAGCATCAGAGACACTCGTGTGTGTTAATACATTGGGTTTGTTGGTGCGTATGATACTGAGGCCTTGAAAGCACAGGTCCGGGGTAACGACCCCTCATGCCCAGGGTGTAGGATGGCCTTGCCCTGCAGCCCCAAACTACCGAAGCAGCAGACATTTTCGTCTAACTGCACCAACCTGTCCAGCGTGAGTTGGAACCATCGGTCAGGAGGTTCTTTCTTTCTCAATCTGTTCCACTCTCCCCTCCCCCCCATACAGGAACTGGCGAGAGTGGGAAAAGCACCTTCATCAAGCAGATGAGAATTATCCATGGATCTGGTTACAGTGATGAAGACAGGAGAGGCTTCACGAAGCTGGTTTACCAGAACATATTCACTGCCATGCAAGCCATGATCAGAGCAATGGACTCCCTCAGGATACACTACGTGTGTGAGCAGAGTCAGGTAAGGTGCTTCTCCCTGATTGGCAACATGTCTCTTCCTGTTGGGAACAGAATGGTTTAATGAGTCCTTTGGTTAGAGTGATTATATATATATTCCATTGGCTGTTGTCAGGGACCGAGAAGAACCACGTGTGCATGTTCTCTCTCAGCTACGAAGCCCCGTTAATTACTTCATTGGCGCTTTCCAAGATAGCTAACGAAATACTTTGATAGATCCCCTGTAAACTACTCAGAGAAATCGAGTTGTGTGTGTTTATTTGTGAGCTAGTCTTTCTTGTGCCGCCTTCGCGTCTGTTCCTTGATGAGACCCTTGCTACAGCAAATGGAAACATCGCTCAGTAATGGATCATCACCATGGTCGTCCCATCGTGCAGCTGCGGGGTTAATCCAGGTCCTTGAGGGGCTTCCTCTTTCTCAATGACCTTTTGCCTCACCAAGCAGGATGTCATTTGTCAGGGAATAGGCTTTTCACATGTGTCCAGCATGCAGCGAAGCACAGGAGACGGAGCCTTCCCTCCTCACTCCTAAGGAGCATGCTGGCTGCACTTCTTCCAAGACAGTCTTGTTGGTTCTTCCCGCAGTCCCCAACACCATAGTTCAGATGCACCGATTTTTCTGCTGTCTTTCTGATTTGATAGCCAGATGTTACATGCATATGAGGCCATTGGAAACACCATGGGCTGGGTCAAATGTACCTGCAGCCTCACAGTGACACCCTTGCTCTTCAACACACTTTGAAGAAGTCGTGGGCAACAGCTTTGCCCAACACAGGAACTCATTTGATTAAGTGATTGTGGCATTCCAGGTGTGGCTCTTTTCCTGGGAATGAAGTGATGGTTTTTAAGATCAATGCTCATGTCTCAGCTGGCACTGTGCGCTCATGAAACGACAGTGTTAGGGTACAATTTGTTACTTAAAATATGAGGAAATAATGAGATAGGTGAGAGAATGAGGCAAATAAAATTTTATAAGAATAAAAATTAATAAGAACAAAACACCATACCTGACTTCATTAAGACTCTATATTAGAAATAGTTTATTTAAAATAATTCATACCAAGGAACAACATGATAATAATACGATAAATGCCACATCAAGTGGATCTCTCAGGGGTATATTAAACAAAGAATTTAGAAACTTAAATTCCAAAACTGCATGGACCTTATTATGGACCCAAAGATCAGTGGGGCACCTGGTTTTTCTATTATATATACATATTGTTGTATATCAACACATATATTATATATACAGATATACACATAAATTTATTTGTATGTATAATTTCAAAGCCAGTGAACAACTTAACTTTTATTACTCAGTCGCTGGATTACGTAGAGAAAACACAGTATGTACTGACTTGCAGACTAACCCTTACATTATATTGAGCAACTCATGTATTGAGATTTCCTGACAGTCTTGAGGGAACAAAGAAACTATCTTGCCTGCAGTCTCGACTTTCAGCTGTGTTATGCTGAAAAGTGTCTGATGTGAATTATCTATGTTATGTGCCCAGTAATCTGAAAGGTACACAGTGAGGCATCTAAAGATTCTAAAAATATTTATAAATGAAAAGCCAAACGCACTGTTTGCTGACTCATAGTGACCCTGTAGGACAGTGTAGAACTGCCCAGTGGGTTTCTGAGTGTGTAATTGTTTACAAGATTAGAAAGCCTGTGTTTCTCCTACAGAGTGGCTGGTGATTTCAAACTGATGACCTGGTGGACCTGGAGGTTGGCAGCCCAGCGCATAACCCACTACCACCAGGGTTTCATTGCCTTTGAATATACGCATCATATTCTTTTTGAAATGTACAGATACTTCTTAATCATCCTGTATAATGTCTTTTTAAACGTAGACTTTTTATAAAAGAAATAGAGGAAAGAACTAGGAGGAAAAAGACATTTATAGAGGTATCAATATAGGCATGCACATATGTAAATATATTAATATATAATGATGGGTATATAGATCTAATGTACATATATTTAAATGTTAAGGTTGCAGACAGGCATTGGATCTCTACTCAAGTACCTCAAAGCAGGAACACTTTGTTCTAATAACCTGAAAGGCTCACATTCCCAACAGGATTGCTAAAGTCAAAATGGATGCATTAGCAAATGTGGTGAAGAAAGCTGATGGTGCCCAGCTATTAAAAGACATAGCATCTGGGGTCTTAAAGGCTTGAAGTTAAACACACACACACACACACACACACACACACACACGCACACATATGTGCGTGTCCTGGTTTTGTTTCTCTAGAGAACCCTGTCTAACATAGTGTAAAATATGAAAATAATAATAATTTATAATTTATCCAGGGTCCACAAGGGTAGGAGGGTGGGGAAGGAAGGGAAAAAAGAGAAGCTGGCACCAAGGGCCCAAGAAGAAAGAAAGTGGTGGTGACATATGTACAAATGTGTTTGATACAATTGATGTGTGGGTTGTTATAAGAGCTAAAATGATTTATTGATGATTAAAAAAGTAGACTTCCTGCAGAAGGGGCATGACCGGACCGCCTGGTGATGATTTCAGTTAGGCTATCTTCGCCTTCTATAGAAATATTTTGTATACTGGTCTGGGTGTGGTGAATAGAGGACACTTGGGATTCAGGGATGGAAATTAGAAATGTTATTTGTAAATAGATCTATGAGGGGGAAATGGCTCAAGTGTAAGTCAGTCTGCTTCCCTTAGAAGCATGTGTTTGTAAAATCCAATCAAGGCCTCTGAAACTTTTTCAGCAAAGTCTCTGAGACACTGAGTAAAAACATTTAAGATACTGAGTAGAAAACCTTTAAGCCAAACGGTTTTATAAGGTTACCAGTTCCCCACTGTCCCTTGTTCTCTGGATCTGAATTCTTCTTAATGCTGTGGCCACTGTCAGACCTCCTGCTCTTCATTTGCCCTTTCTAGCTCCAATCCCACTGCCTTTCTCCTTCAAGTAGCAAAATTCATTCTCTGTACACTTCCTATCTCTCAAACATGTACACACCTGGAATGCGTCCTGAAATGACTTCAGAAGAGGCAGAAGGTTGAATGGAAAGACCACTTGACTGGTTCCCAAAATTCTGGACTCAGCCCGTAGCTCTCTTGTGTGTCTTGGATAGAAATGAGCAACTTTGCTCCATAAAGGGCCAGAGAGTAAATCCTTCTGCCTTGTACATCATCCTTGTACGGCCCCTGTCTCAGCTACTCAATTCTGGCCGTATAGTACAAAATCAGACGTAGACAACACCTACACGGGATGAGCACGACTCCTTTAAAACTTGTATTTACAAAAGATAAACTCTATTCTTAACCTATGGACCATAAAAACACTAGCCATGGGTATAATTGACCCTTGGGCCACAGCTTGCTAACCATGGTCTTAGAGGAAGACCCAACCCTCTTGATCACCAGTCTCCTCACCTGGAAATGCAGATAGCCCAGGATCTGTCTACTGTATAAGCCAACATAAACTAGAGCAAGTCCTTTAAAAATTAAAAGGGACTGGAGAAACAAAAAGATAAGATTATTATTGGGATGACTTCCAGAAGTTAATGAGCTCATTGTTACTCCTATTAAACATCCCGAGAGCACGCTCATATATGCTTTCTTTATTGTTTTCCAAATATTTTTCTCTGGAAGCTGGTCCTGGTTCTAACGTAAAAACAACAAACACCAAAGCCCACATGGACCAACATATCAGCCTGTGTGATCACGAGGTGTCGAATGGATCACTGAAGACAAATGGGTGCATAAGCAAATGTGGCGAAGAAAGCTGATGGTGCCCGGCTATCAAAAAGTATAGCGTCTGGGGTCTTAAAGGCTTGAAGGTAATCAAGCGGCCATCAAGCTCAGAAGCAACAAAGCCCACATGGAAGAAGCACCCCAGCCTATGCAACCACGAGGTGTCGAAGGGATCAGGTGTAAGGCATCATCAGAACAAAAAATCTTACCATAGTGAATGATGGGGGCAGTTCGGAGTGGAGACCCAAAGCCCATTAGTAGGCCACTGGAGATCCCCTTGCAGAGGGGTCTCGGGGAGGAGATGAGCCAGTCAGGGTGCGATGTAACAACGATGAGAAATACAACTTTCCTCTAGTTCCTAAAGGTTTCCTCCCCGCTCCCACTACCATGACTCGAATTCGACCTTGCAAGTCTGGCTAGACCAGAGGAGGTACACTGGTACAGATAGGAACTGAAAATACAGGGAATCCAGGGCAGATGAGCCCTACAGGACCAGTGGTGAGAGTGGGGAAACAGGGAGGGTAGAGGGAGAGTGGGTAGGAAAGAGGGAACCGTTTACAAGGAACTATATGTGACCTCCTCCCTGGGGGGCGGACAACAGAAAAGTGGGTGAAAGGAGACGTCGGACAGGGCAAGATATGACAAAATACCAATTTATAAACTATCAAGGGCTCTTGAGGGAGGGGGGAGCGGGGAGGGAGGGGAAAAATGAGGACCTAATGTCGGGGGTTTAAGTGGAGAGAAAATGTTTTGAGAATGAAGTACAAATGTGCTTTACACAATTGATGTGTGTATGGATTGTGATAAGAGTTGTATGAGCCCCTAATAAAATGTTTAAAACAAACAAACAAACAACAAACACACAAAAAAACCTCAAACTCACTGTCACTGGGTTGATTCAGACTTGCCCTGACCTTATAGGAGACGGTAGAACTATCCCCGTTGTGCTCCTAGACTGTGGGACGAGAAAACCGCCTCTTTCTCTTTGAAGCAGCTGGTGTGCAACGAGGTCATGTGCTTGTCTGTATTCTGAGTGTGCGCAGAAATGACTGTAGTATTCAGCAGGAGTCACTGTGTGGTGCGCTCAAAGTGCTTGGAGACTAACTAAATATTGAAGTTTGAGGCCCCCCAAAGACCCTTTAGAAGAAGGTCTGGGAGCTACGTCTGAAAATTCTGCTGTTGAAAATTCTATCTACTCTGACCCACATGGCATTACCATGGGGTAAAATAGACCGGATGGCAACTGGTGGTATTAAGCAACTAGCAGAAGAT